TGGTTAGATAACTCAAGTACATAAAGGGTTCCAGTAAATGTTCTACCAAGCCTCTTTCTTCTCTTCTCACTAAATTTTGACAGCAGAAATAGGGAACCGTCAGGAGTACCTTGCAACAATATATTTTAAAATTGGTGTAAATAAGGAATTTTTATAAAATTCGTAATCACAAACTTTTACCAAAATCAATAACATCAATCCGTACAAATTTTCAAGCTTGATAAGATAAAAGCATTACTCACGATAAATTAAGTCCAGACTTTTTCTTATTATAGGCAGCTTCTTAAAAAATTAAACTCGTAAACTCACCTACCTTGTCAGTGGTCATTTTCACATTCACTTTGTAAAAGCATTCTTGCTGTACATACAAAGACTCAAGAAGCTGAAGTTTAAAAAGATATTTGAATTTCTGACAGATAATATCTTATTTAGTTTTGGGTGATGGTTTTCCAACATTCTATCTGAATATCTATGGGTACCAATTGCACCCCGTTACACTACCTATATAGTTTTTGGAGATGGTCTTCAGACAGATTGTCTGAATTCCTTTTGATACCAGCTGCGCCCCGTTTTCAGCAGACCTTAATTTTTGTATTCAAAGGAAGTAATCTTGATTAAAAACGTATACATGAGGAAACTCTTCTTGTGACATTCATCTCGATATTAGATACATCGACGACGCATTACATGTATCAATTAACAATTCCTTCGATCCATATGTGGACTCAAAATGTCTCAGTAAAATTCAATAAACACACCAAAGAGTCCAAAACATCTGTTTCATACTTGGATAGTCTAGAAAAAGATGTTAGTGGTAGTTTTTACAAGAAAATTTCATGATAAAAGTTTAATCTTATTTCGATTTGTATTGCTTCAATATAATTATAAGCTTGATTTCTCTTGACTTCTCTTCGTGTTTCTTTATATTCCATACAATAAATCTGCCGAGGATACTTTACATCATATCAAATAATTTTCTCGATTAAATATGAATCAATCATGAATGATTGAAAACATGAATTAATGACGGCTTAATTTTTTTTTTCAAATTTCATAATCATTTGATAATTAAGACAAATCCTTCCTGCAATAAAGAGCGAGACAAATCAGTCACAGGCACCTAACGTTACTTATTTTTCTTTTAATAAAAAAAATATACACATTAGGTATGTGTATACTTTTTTAATTAAAAGAAAAATAAGTAACGTCAGGTGCCTGTGAAATCAGTATTTAAATGATTGCATTCAATAATAAAATTTTATTTCAAGAAAAAAAAGGAGGCATTCAAAAATGTATATAGAAAGTGATTTGGCTGTTTGTATTGTACTTTGGCATGTAATGACAGACTCCTGTAAAAACAAAGTGTATATGCTCGCTGTAGGATGAAACAACAGGACATGTTTACAGTCCCGGGCCTTTGTTAACCAAATTATGCATGGGCCCGTCACGTCGTAAAACCACAAGATTTGGTAATTGTTTGTGATTCATTGTCAGGCTTCTAATCGCACTACCTGATATTCTGCTTTCTAACTTTATGTTATTTCATAGGACTTTAACATTGAAAAAATCGTCCCTGTCGGGATGATAAAATAGATAAAGCGATAATAGTTTTATGTGTATCATAGTTAAAATGAAAAATAATATCAACTGAGTAAGAAAAACGTGCAATAACGTTTTTTTAAAAATCGATTTCAGAAAACAAAATAGCAAAACTCAAGTATAAAACATAAAACAGTGTGGATTCGCGAGTAAAATCGTTAATTTGTAATTTGTATTTAACAACAAAATGTTAAGTTTTGTTTAACACATGTTGTTCCACTTCCTTCACCTCCTATTAGCTTTTCCAAATACCTACATTCATATCAACATTGGATAGTTAAAATAGGACCACATGCAAATTATGAAAGAACAACATGCAATTATGAAATGAAAAAAAGATAAAGAACTCGGTATGTTCAATCAATTAGACAATGAAACATGTGGAGATAACGAACAGTATTCAAGATCAAAAGTCCATAAAACATAATAAAACAGGAGCAAAACAAAAACGGGTCCCCAAAACACCAGAGAATAACATCAATTGAAAAAAAACACAATAACGCTGTAGTTATCAGTTAGTAAATAAAAACATCTAGGAATATCAACTTTATTTTACGGGTATTTTTTCAATATTTTGATTATCTCGAAGAAGTTTATTTAAGTTAATTTAATACCAGTTAACAACTTATATATTTTAGAGAATACTTAATATTAGTTCTAGTTTAGTTTTACGTGAATTTCAATTACCGGTAATTTACATTTCGTAATTTTTTTTAATTGCTAATGTATATTTCTTACTTTCTATGAATGAAATTTCAACAGGTTATCAAAAGTTCCTGGATGGATGCTGGACTGATGTTTGAAATGTATTATTTAGACTGTGCTGTTAAAATTTCTTGGGAACAAAGTTTGTGTTGAAAATATTACATGAATTTGTTGCAATTGATGGTTTTTCATTAAATTTTATGGAGAAGGTTAAATGAAGTTTACTATGCTATTTTTTTGGCCTGTCGCCGTTGAGTTTTACAACGCCATTTCTTCTCATCTTCTCATATCCCCTTTCAGTCTCAATATACGTTTTATTGACGAAAAACTCTGATGTTAGTACAGACTTTTGTCACCAGTCTCGATTATATGACTTTAGCACAGCATTGTAAAATCTATACAATATACATTATATTACAATCCTCGCATGACTTATCAGCATTTTTGTCGGCATTCTACGTATATACAATTTTTAAAACGAGGTAAATTATTGACAAACAAGTTGATGAAACAAGAATATCAGTAGTCTTGTTTAAAATGATCATTTTGTAAGTTCTATGGTCTATACAATGACTTTGTCATCAATTACAATTTATCATTGAATCAAATGCTGACTGACGTTTTTCACTCTAATTATTAAGCTATTATTATTTACATACTGAATTGAAGACGGATTTTTTTTAATGTTATTTCCCGATCAAGACAAGGAGCACATGGCGGGTGTAATTGGTCGGCAGGTGAAGCTCACTCCTCCATGGCACCTGATTCGACATCTAATGTTTTGAGGTGTTTCTTCTGCTCCTATTTTGTTGTATGGGGCTTATACTGTTCGTTATCACCATATATTTCATTTCAACATTGTTACTTTTCGACAAAACTAAATTTGGACACCCGAATAGCTATGTGGCATTAAATGTGTCTCTACTTTTTAATCTTTTATGTCATGAAAGAAGAAAAGTCGTTAGTTTTTATGCTTTTGATTTTTGAAAAAAAAATTGTAATTTCAAATATTTCAAAAGTTCCTTGGAATTTTTTGGCATCCACATCTAATTCACACCACTTCTCGAATATATTGTTGAACTGTACTCTTGAATGAAACAAATGGAGTTAACGAACAGTATTCAAGATCAAAAAATCCATAAAACTGTACAAAATAGGAGCAGAGCAAACACAAACCTCCAAAACATCATTGCGGGATCAGGTGCCATGAAGCTTCTCATACACTACTGTTAATATCTTTTAGAGGGGTGAAAAAAGAGGTTTGGTAGATCATTTATCGGAACCCCTGTTATCTAATAAAACTGAATATTTGGCAAAATATGTCTAAATTAATAAATGAAGATATAACAATTTTTTGAAATGTTTATTGATGATAAAATACACAAAAAGGCACAAAAAGCGAAAAAATTAACGAATCAATCAATCTCGTACCTTTAATTTGGTATTGATGAGATCAAACCCACAAAAGTATATTCATTGTCTATTACGTGAATGAATCAAAAGCCATTAAAGGGGCATAGACACAGTTTCAGCCAAAATTTTCAAATTTATTTTTCCAGTTTTATAATATTTAACTAAGGTCTTTCTAATGATCATCAAAAATTTGAACTTTAGTTGTTGAGATACAAGACAGATTTGGAGTTCCAAACCTTTGTTATGTAAACAGGGTCCGTTTCATGTTTTGTTTACATAAATTAATATATTATGATTTGTTTGTTTAAAGCAGATAATTTCAATAAAGAAGTCAATTCTAAATACAATTAGACTGTTTCTAGTGATTTGCTGAATTTCATTTTGTTATAGATATGATATTTTCTATATGTAAACAAAAGCAAGGCACGTGCCTTGTTTACATTTTGAAGAACTCTAAGTTCTGTATCTCTGTTTGTTAATCAATAAATGACGTTCAATATTTTAGCTGATCATTAAACGATGCCTTAGTTAGGCATTGTAAGCATTAAAATTGGTTTTAAAAAATTCAGTTGAAACTGTGGCCATGTCCCTTTAAAGGTGCATCGTTTGAAGTTAATAATTTCTGTATAATATTACGACTTATATATTTTAATAGCATTTCACACAAAAATGAATCAAAAATCTTATTTCATTTAAAAGTTATTAAAACTATTTTTTGGCGGGATTGATTGAAAAATCCTTGCACTTTCACAAATTTTAATTTTATTCTCAATACTTAGGAAAAGTGGCAATCTTGTGTGTAAATGAAGAATATTAAAATTATAATCTCGAAAAATTAGAGTAGAAATGTCCGAAAGCAAAACATACACACAGTATAGTGTCAGTCCGTGCAGTTGTGGTGAGTAGACTTTAACAATTGAACACACCCAGTGAATCGTAAACATCAACAATAACAGAGCTCGTGCCCTGTTTTCAAAACCCTGTATATGTTTAACGGGTCTGTTCAATTTGCTAAACTCTGTACACAACATTTAGCTCGGAATGACGATACTTGTGAAGGAGTTTTGCTTTGTAACATTTCTACTCTGAATAGAATTATTTCTCTGGATTAAAGTTTTAATATTTCTCATTAATACACAACAAGATTGCCACTTTTCCTAAGTATTAAGAATAAAGTTAAAATTTGTGAAAGTGCAAGGATGTGTCAATCAAACCCGCAAAAAATTTTGAAGTTTCAATAACTTTTAAATGAAATAAGATTTCTAATTTGTTTTTGTGTGAAATGCTATTAAAATATATAAGTCGTAATATTATATAGAAAATATTAACTTCAAACTGTGTCCATGCACCTTTAAGGAAACATATTATAATGTTTGTTTTTCTCATTATCAACATTCCCTTGGGGAAAACCAATCTGATTAACGTTCTTATTAAATGTTAAACTGTTCTCCTGATTTTTAGTTTCGTCACACGCCTTATTTTCATAGGCAGCGTTATATTTTGATCCGCTCCGCACACTATCACGTCCTTTATAGGAGAGAGAATAAATCAATCTGTCCATAAAAATTTTGTCATCTTTTTTAATGAAGGTGAATGTCTTTAAACAGGCTTGCAAAACTTTTGGCATTTTATTCTGTGATATCTCCTCCATTAAAATCACTAACAAGTGACGCTTCTTTTCACTTAAACTCTGTCTTAGAGCTTCTTCAAATTCATAGAGGCAGTAATTGCTGTCCAGAAAATGCCGCGACACGATCACAATGGTGTGTCTGCTGCTTTCAATGCTATCTATGATGTTTTCTGTTATGGTCTTACCTGCCATGAAGTCCCTGTGATGTAAACAAAATTTAAAGCCCTTTAGTACCTCTAATTTATTGTTTTCAAACACATCACTGACCCAGTCGTGGTCCTGATTGCTGTAAGAAACAAAAGCATCGAACTTTTTCTCTTCGAATACTTCCTCTGGTTGGCATGGCAACAGTATGTGAAATCTCGTATAGGTCAGAATGCGTATTTCCCTTCGAAACACAAGTAATATTATAATAACCACTAATAGCAATATTGAAAACAAACTTAAGGTAATTACAGCTTCTAGAAGAATAGTTTCTGTAAATGTGAAGTCATTTTTACACATCAACATTGATTCAGATAGGTCCTTTAAAAGGGTTCCCTTTAAAGACTCAGGAAAGAAACATCCCATTTCTCTGATGTACGCGTATCTAGCGTACTTCTCTAATGCCCATTTCTCTCTTCCTTGAATAAATCTTATGAGCTCCTTCATATCCTCCGTACAAGAACAGTTTAAAGGATTCTGACTAAAATTTAAGAACAATCGGTGTTCATCAATTATAGTCTCAAGAACTGAAACTTTCAATTCCTTTATTCTATTGTTTGTTAGATTTACAAGCAGTATCTTGTCATCTCTTCTTTTCATGGTATCGAGAAAACCGATGAAATTTAACTCTTGTAGATTGCAGTGAGAAATATCCATGGTCTGAAGTGAAGGGTAGTTACTAACCCAGTTCCTCAGCAAATTATCCAGCGGATACTTTTCTCCAAAAGGAGTAAAAGAAAAGTTCAAGTTTTCCAGAACTGGATATTTAGATCTCTCTGTTTCCAAGTCAATAAAGAATGAGCCTGGAGAAGAGTTAATACTGTATTCATACTTCCTCAGGTGTTTATAATTACATACATGTTCCACCCTAAGGACCTCGTTGTACATTTTCGGAACATCGTTCAACACGGGGTCCTTTTCTACATTGTGCTCACCCGTGGTCTCGTTTAACAAATTCTGGAAAAACGTCTCCGTGGAGGCTCCAAAGTTATACGTTAAATTGCTGATTGTATGTTCAATGAGACTCTCGTCATTTCCACACATGGCATCTTGTGTGATATTTACTATTTCACCAGCCAGGTAAATTAGGTCAAATATACTCACCATAGCAACGACATCTGTCAGACGAAGGTATTGCAGCTCATCTGCAAAGGTAGCCAGCATTTTATTTTCATAGTCACCGTAGAAGTCTTCAAGCAGACAGTTCTGCACTATTATTTCTATGAGATTTATGGCTTTGAAAGGCCATTTCAATGTAATATTAGCCCCATTTTCACATTCGATATCAAATTTATATTTCAGTTTCTTCAAAGCAATGTGATCCCTTAATTCGTCATAATTCCATCGTCCAGAGTTATTTCTGTCAATGGTACACTTAAAAGACATCGTTTCAGTAGAAGTGTATTCAGTTTTCTCCATACAAAAATCGTCCCATCCAGTTGGCAAGGAAGCCACTGTCGATTCCGAATTGTTACTCTCTTTCACACTCTCTGTCTTGCGTTGTTGAGGAGGCGTTGAATTTTCTATACATGCCACAAATTTGATTACGATAACAATTACAAAGAAGAAAAATGACACTAAATAATGCATCTTTTTCAGCAGTTGTAATTGACGTCGCCTCAAGGTAACTTATTAGAATTTTGTTCCACCTTGTTAAGGTAGATAAACTGTTTATCACGTTAAGTGAATTCCAATGAGAAAAAGCAAGAAGAGCTCCGTGTTCATTAATCTTCCCTCATGGACATTGACAGTGGTATGTGGATGTACGCCTCTCTAGATTTTCCGAAAGAACGAAAATGAAAGTTTTATTGGTGCATTAAATTGACCCACGTCAACACTGAATACCAGGTAAGCAGTGCACGAGCCTGAAGGCCTTCATTAACTAAAACAACAATAGTTATTATCAATCAATACCGTGACGAATTTAACTAGTAAAGTACAAATCATTCATCAACAATTTCTGGTTTTCCTAATTCTCTCTCATTTTTTAAAGGACAAGATATATAAATTCACCCAAATATTAATTAAACAAAGAAACAAAAATATCAAATTAATAAATCTTCTAAATACAAATCATGTATAGGACAACAGAACAGAATTGCCAAATGTGGGACCAGCTGCCAAGGAGAGGTAAGTTTCCTCTGCCGACAGGTCGCGCTTGCTGTAAGCCCTATGTTTTGATCAGATAAAAAGCGTAAGTTCTAGTTACATTTATTTAGTATGAAAACATTGGCCTCATAATGATGAATCGGTTTGAAATATGTAAATAAATACCAAAAAAGATTATTATAATGACGATAGAAATTTCAAACTGTTGACTTTATAGGAGAATGTTATAATATTAATGAGGGAAAGCAAAAAGTCAGAATTACCACATAGGCTGTCAATTTTTTTATGCAAGAAATCACAATAGGTTAATCAAGTAGGTTAATCAAGTAAAAGTAATTGATTATTTAATCAAGTTTGTACTCCTTTAGAAACAAGAAAAAAGGGTTACAAGAATAAAGATTAAACATTATTAGCATTATTACTCTAGTTAAGTATAAATACCGTTAAAGGGACATTCACGTGATTTACTGGTATACATTCAACTTTGCATCAAATTCCTTGGCTTGCCTGTATGTTTTATATTCAATTTCTCGATATTTTTTTCTGATTTGTATTTATTTTTTATCATATATGCATTTGAAATAGTTCTTAATTTAATTAAACAATGCAAAATCAAAAAATAAAGTAGTCAAGGTAATTCATTGTTCTCATTCAACAAATTGTGTTTTATTTAATCCCCGAGCCATGGTAAGGAAAGAAAAACATACAAGTGGAATAAAAATCGTATTTAACCACAAACCATAGGAGATACTTTTTATCACGTTTTACACCTCACCATCAATGCTATCCACTGTTTTTATATATGAATCAACAATAATTTCTTCATCACTTTCACATAAAACTAGGGGATATCACTTTTACTTGGACTGCTAAGTCTAATAATCAGAGCCTCTAGCCGATCTGTAGTTCTTCACTATTCCATGTAATAAAATTTTCAAAACCTCTTCGTGAAATATATGGAGATAACAAACAGTATTCAAGCTCAAAAGTCCATAAAACAACACAAAATAGGAGCAGAGCAAACACGGACCTCTAAAACATCAGAGGTGGGATCAGGTGCCATGGAGGAGTAAACATCGCCTGCCGATCGGTCACACAGGCCGTGTTTTGTTTTTATTTTTATGCTTTATCATGCTGTGTAATTTTCATTTAGATGAAAACAAAAAGAATGCTGTGTTCTTTAATTACACTCCTGATGAACAATCCCACCTGTTACAATACGTGAGACTCCTCAGGTTATCAATTTGTATGCTAGAAAAAAAATTCTTGATGAATTAAAAAAATATCGAAACCAACGGCAAATTAGATGACCTGTAAAGGATGCATAACATTTTATGTCCGTCAAGATTTACTGAATTCGGCGAAAACCTTCAATAAAACAAGAATAGATATGGGTTACCCCATATCCAAAGATATTCGACTTTTAGATTTAACAGTGTTTAACGACTTCTATTAAAAAAAACTACATTGTCTTGTTTTGGAACTGGTGTAAAATTCATGAGTCCGTAGCATTACTGTCCCCAGTCTCCAAGCAAACAGTGCATATACCTGTGTCTGCAAGACCAGTTAGCCTTGGTCTACACGCGCGATGAGATTGTCAAACGTATCTAGCGAGCTCGGAGAAACACGTTTGTTTTGCCGAGAAGTTACGAGGACAGGTCCAGTGTTGTATAACCATTCTGGATTAAGAATTCGACTTTTCAATTTACTTAAATTTTCATCAATAATTATAAAATATAGCCCTAGTTCATCACCGTAGCTTGGCTTTGGCGGGAAAATGACGCTTTCCTTGCGTAGAAAATCTTGTGAACTTTTTTTTCTTCACAATTCAAACATTTAACTTCATATTTGATTACAAACCTGAAAATTCATTTAGTAACTTTTTTACTTAAGGTAGGATTCTTCTCTGGTTTCTGACTAGATGAAACATTCAAAGTATATTTGCTTATATGTCTTATATATTGAGGTGTAAGGAATTTAAAAGACCATATTTTTCTTTCCTCATCACAATTATACAACTTTTAATAGAAATGGTAAACTGCGTTTAAAAACTAGCAGGGACTATATTTTTGGCGGAATGGTGGCGTATGAAAATATCTTCTTTTCTGCCTCTCAAAATTACCATAGAACAATGAATTTAGTTACCATTTTTACACAATCGTAGACTTGGAGAAATTTTCAAATGTAAGTTAAATTAATAATGAGGGAATAAACTTTCAAAATATATCAAATAAATATGATTTTCTAAACAAACTAGAACTTTGTTAGCTTTTAAACGCTTCCTATCAAAGTGCAGATTTGAGCCAAAAGTCCATAAAAAGTATTTTTTTCTCTCTTAGTAAACGATCAAAACTTTTTGTTTTTGTATCATTTTGTACATTTATAAGACTACTTTATTATATGTGAAAATAAGAAAAAGTTAAATATAGGAAGCATATGAAAATAACTAATATATCCTAAAAAATTAAGAAAAACAGAGAAAATTCGGATTAGCCAATATCCAGTTAAGTTAAATTATTTATGTAAATTTGGTAATATCATGCTATAGACCCGATATAGTAATATGTTTTTATGCAAAAAGAACAATCTTTAAACTTTTGAAATAGAAGTAGGCTTCACATGATTGGCAACAGTGTTTTTTATTCTTAATGTCAAGAAAAAAGATAATGACCTTGACCTGACCTTGCCTCTAATATAAAACGGTCAAATTTAATTTCACTGATACTATCACTTACTGATATTGTCTTCTTGATTCTGTGAAAATTTCATTAATTTTTAAATATTAGAAATATGAGAAGAATCCTACCTTAATTAGATCATATGGATACGAATTATGATTAATAAAAATAATACAATCCCTGCACAACTATATTTTTTCCTAACATTTGTCCTAACACTTGAATCCACAACAAAGTGTGTATAAAATGGGTTACGAAAATCAGGACCGGCCGGGAAATTCGAAACTGAAAACCTTTCTTGTTTTTGTTTTTGTTTTTTGTTTTTTTCTAAATTACTGAAATATACTAATGTATTTGTCACGTAACTTACTTATATAATTCAAATTCTACATATAATGATATGCTGAGCTTCTTCATGAACCTGGTTTTCAGTTTGGAAACCTCCGGCCCGGTTCAGGTTTTGCCACACATTTTATAGTTACGCTCCCTACAGTTTACACAATCTACACACCTGCAGAAATCTGCCCAGGGATTGAAAATTGTTATTTAACAAAACACACTCACAGAATGAATTTTTTTCTCTAAGAAGAAATTGTATGATAATTAACGAACAATAAACATGAACTTAATACAATTGTTGATACAGTATAATCAATTCATCGGTGAAAAAATATCAATCGGAGAATGACCTAAATATTCTCTGTTATCAAACATGTTAAGAAAAGACTGAGGAGGGAGCGAGCGTAGGAATATTGATATTTCTTATTTGTATTTCGGGGGGAATGTGATTTTCTGAAAACATTTTTACGTTAATTTTGGTTTCTGTAACCTATGACACAGCATTATTTTAGTCATAAACAGTAAAGTTGTATCTACTTATCATGATGGAACTATTTTTGTCGGAACAATTTGTGTGAAGCGTACCCGACTACAGTAATATATTTTGAATAGATAATAAGCACTGATCGAATATATCAAAAAGAATATGAACTCATAAAAGTTACTGTTGTAAAACAAATTGTTACTTAGGAGAATTTATAAATTGATCAGGTGACTCTTATCACAAATGTAAAAATAGTAAATGTGTTATTCGGGAAAAAGCAAAACTCTATAGTAGCCATTTTCTGATGAGTCAAGACAGTACAGAACTAAATTGTTAAAGGATATCCGATCCTCAGCCAGGAAGGATAACTCCAAAAATTATTATTTATTTAAAATGCATCAAAATAAAGCTTAAAAATGAAATTTGTTCATGCAACAATTTTCATTTTATTCAACTTTATAAGATTCAAGGTTTTTGAAAGTTTTAGAAAAGGTCTTATAAAAGTTGACATTTGTACCCTATAAAAGGAAAAAAATAATAAAGTTTTAGAGAAATAAGATTTTTCTTGAATCCAGCCTTAGATACCAAAGCTTATTATCGTTTTTTAACCTGAAATATATTTGTTGATCAATCTGCAATTAAAAAATGCATTGCTGATATTCCAATTCGCTTTTTCTGCAAAAATATTGGAAATTTGACAATTTTCCCTATATAATATGATTAACTTTAATCTTTAAATTCAAAGAAATACTGTGGATATATTTACATAATTTTGTGGATTCAGAGTTACTTTTATGAGTACAGTGTATTTTTGATTATCTAATTCCTAATTTCATAAACCTAAGGATCGGACTACCTTAACACCACAGCGGATACAGTGGAAGGGATTTACATGGCCGTCGTGTTGAAATGGAAGGGTCAAATATTTGTCGTGTTTTCAAGATTTATGACGAAAACACCTTTGAATAAAAAGTGTCTGCAACTGAAACTCATATGCACGTATACACTTATCAATCGATGCTCACAACATAACTCATAACTATATGATTCCTAACTGATATATTTAGTTTTCTTTCGGTGAATTATAAGTAAAGCATCACTTAAGTAAAAGAAGATCTTTGTGATATTTTATATTTTGAAATCACTGAAAT